TAAACACGCCAAAGCATTGTTGTGCCATGTGCCTTCCTTGAATCATCTCTTATGGTCCTCATCGTCCCTCATTCAACTGGCTTTGCAAAATGCACACACCCACACACCGCAAAGAACAGCTGTCACTGGTCCAGTATTGACAATGATCCGTCAAGAGTTTCGATCTGAAACCTTCCAAGTCGTGCTCAGTGTGAGAGCAAACCTGCTAGCGTTTGGTTTGGCTCCCAAGTCAGTCTTCCCAAACTTGACCGGGCTGGTACACTCCCAAGGTAAAAAGTACAGGTACAAACACCTTGCTACTTGCTACCCACAACAATCGCTTAGACTCCTTAGACCGGATTTGCTGCATAACACCCCCGGACACCAATCGCCGCCAAGCAAAAGCAAGCAACTGGCCGTGGCCCAAACAGCTGTGACCAACCTCCACGCCCCAGTGTTGTCTGCACATGCGTTCATCATCGCCGTCATGGGCGCTGCATTGCAAGTGCTACCTGGCACAGCAACGGAGAACAAAACACCACATTGCACAATTCCGCCATAGAAGCTGGCACACAACTATGATCAAACATGCAAACACCGGCTCACGTCCCTTTTCTTGCGACCAGCTGCCCTGGGGCATCAAGCACCCTCAATGCATTCTGCAGCATCACTTGGCAGCCGCACTTGTCCCCACCCCCCACGGTAGGTACCTACACATCTTCTGTTTAACATGGCCGGCAGGCAAACGGCAACCCCGACCACGCACAGCCCCATGTCACACAAGAAACACACACTTTGGTCACACCAAGGCACCTGTTCGATTGCAGGTGTCAGTGCAGGACTCGCCGTCTTGTCCAGTGATCCATGCACCCGAGGCCACATGCAAGCATACATGCCATAGAAGAGCTCTCCTCAGTTCACTGAAGCCTTTCATGACCTTTCATGTGTCCAGTGGAAAGCTTGGCCAAATCCCCAAAACCTGGCCGTCGTGATCCTGTTGTCGCTCTTGTTATCAAGCTAGAAACACATGTATTGATGGGAACACCTGGCCGCGACCTACTTGATAGATTTGATATATAAGAAGGTGTCAGAAATACGCTTCAGTTGGAGCGAGTTACAAATTTTTGATCAGCCTATGCTTGGGAAGCTATCGGGCAAAGCCACTCGGACTCGTGTTTCCCGTCCTGTAAGCTCCAACTGTCCTCCACCCCTTGCCACTCCCCTTGCCCTATGCCACCACCTCCCTGTCCTCACACCGGAGGGTTTCCTTTGAACAAATCATTGACCGCACCCCATCTCAATCCAGGCAAACATGGAATTCATCGAAAGGTGCGCAAGAGAATTGCCTTTCTTAAAAAAATCCTGTCAAATAATGTGGAATGTTGTGGGACTAGTTGGGTAGGACCGAGTAGGATCTAGGTTTGTCTGCATGAGCAGTTGTAGTTTTGGTCCCAATGCTGCAGTGAATTTGCCAAGGCTCATTGATGTGCCCTGCCGCCCTTTGGATGGATGTGCCCTGTGAGAAGATTTCAACTCACATCTTGATTTTTAAGGCACCCTTGGCTGCGGCAGAATGTGTTTGCCTACAATAGCTGCATTGTCAAACGTGAGCGCGTCGTGTTGTTTTTTGGCACATCCACACGTGGGGTGAGCGATCAATGAATAAGAACAACATCAAACAAATCAAACAAATATGTCGGTGATCAAAAAAATAAATAGAGGATCGACAAAAACTATCCCCAGTGAATCAGTGAAAGGAAAAGGGGCGAGAGATGAGAGGATGCTTGCAACACATGGCCTAATCAAAACTCTTAGGCGAGGGTGTGCAATATTTGGTGTGGAGACCTTTTAGAAAGTCGGTCGTGCCAGGCCCAATGCATTGACCAAAGTAGTGCATTTTTCGTGGTGGTGGAGCGGGCTTGCAAACTACAAAAGCCACCATCAAAGGCTGAAGGCACCACTAAATACATCATCATTGAAAACTACGGCACCCTATTGCCCATCAATGAGGGGATGAGCCACAGAACAATGAACGGATGTAACCGCTTGCAACATCAAAAAGGGTCAGGCGAGTGCGTGCAATATCTTGCGTGAGCGATGGGTGCCTGGGAGACCTTTAGAACATCTGTCCTGGTAGGCTCAGTGCGTTGGCACAAGTAGCGCAGATTTTGTGGCATTGGAGGGGTGCAGCGCCTTCCCCAGAGTGAACCAAACGTCAAAAGCCATCAGACTCAAAAGGCATCACTAAATAGATCACCATCGAAAACTGCACACCCCCTCATCAACGAAGGGCACTCAAAGGACCAAGGCAACCGGGTAGTATCGTGTTTTTGACCAATATTGACCAATGGACCACGAGGCCAGCGGACCAGGGGACCTACTCAGGATGTTTTTTATTGATCCTGTTCTTATCTTATTTTGTTATTGATCCTGCCCTTGGTTGCTTTGATTACTTTTTTCCTTTGATCATCTTTGATCTAAATAGATGCCCACAAAGTGTCACCGTGTTGCCCCACACGTCCACAGACTTGTGCAAGAACATGCGCTGAGCAAAGGCTCACTTGAAATTGGGGCCAGGTTTGCCATGCTTGGATTTCCAAACCCTGCACCGCAATTCCCTTCTGCATCTTCTTCGCCATATCTGAAATCAGCTCCCTGCAAAATGCACAAAACCGGTCAACAAGGGTCAACTTCTCCCTTCAAGTTGGTCCAGTGATCAGCTTCGGGTACGAATCCGCTTCAATCCTCTCACGTCCCTCAAGGTTTGAGACGCGGACTTTACTCCGGCAAAACGGGACTTGTCTGGACAACAGTCTGGACAACAAATACCATGTCCTGGCTTGAAAGACCGCACCACCATCTTCTCAAGCCGGTTCTTTTCAGTTTGTTTTTCCGATTCTTTTAGCCAGTTCATGCTATTCAGAATTGCTTCCTGGCCTCCATCTCACACCACACACCGCCGGCGGTTCCACTTTTTGGACGGCTATTGGTCTCTTTTCTGTTCCACTTGGTGGAGGCGGCCAAACTGGCCGACGCAGAGTGAGACTGAAAAATACTGCGAATCTTTGTCACACCGTCACACCAGGAGCTGGCGTGATTTGGGCTTCCTGCAGTCATATGCAGTCATTGTAGTCAGGACGCACCAAATTGCACCCAACCAAACAATACAAGTCACAAGTCTTCCAGCCGACTCTCCCAGCGAAACGCCACGGTATGCCACGGTCACATCTCGAAAGCGTTCACTGCCACTGCCGAACCTTTCGGCTAGGTGCCACGATGCCACTGAACCAACTGCAGCCTGAGATGTGCACTTGGCAGGACTTTGATTCCCAGAGACGCCCCAGGAAGGAGTTGAACCTCCGGGGGGGGGGGGCCACCAAATATGAAGTTATGACCCCACTTGCTATAGCAAGAACAACTCCAGCTAGCTGGTGCTATCTTTCGTGACAAGAACCCCCGCAAAGTCAACAGTCAACTGAACAAAAGATCGGGTTCCACTCAAACCGCTCCATTAAAGCTCCATTCCTCCGTTCCAAAAACATCAAGAAAGCCAAAGCACCCAATGGCCAGGCTTTGTTCCGCTTCCTGGGCGTCCTTCGCCGCTTGGTCCAACAAAGCCAAGGGCAGCTCCACCCGAGCCCAGGCCACCTGGCGTTACCGTGGTGCTGGACGCCGGTTTGCGCCGTTGAACCGCGGAGGAGACAGCCTTTTTCACACATTCTTGGATGCTTTTTCATAGCATTTGTATGAGCAGGCCGAAACGGAATGGGTCTGGGGTTGGACGCGTTTTCGGGCGGGACCAAGTGGATTCAAAGTCAGAAGTTTGTTTGATTTTGTGGGTTTGGATGGATCTTGTCAAAAACAAAAGCTGACAGAATAGGTTCGAACAGGCCCATGAGCGTTTCTGTCTTCCTTCGCAATATCGCACCCAGTAACTCTGAGAGAACGATCAAAGTGGAGGTGGAGTCAATTCCCTGGCATCAAATTGCTGCTGATAGCTGTCTTCCTTATCTTCCTAGATGGTTGAACATGGACATCCAAAGCAGGAAATTACTGCTGAAAACCCTCTGCTGAACACCGTTGAGCTGGGGGATTCTTGGGGCTTGGAACTGCTTGTATTCACCTGGGAGCGGGCCCCTTCGGAACTGAGGAAAAGTGATCAACGACTCCTTGGTCTAGTCCCACTGCACCAAAACATGGTTGCATACATGGTAGCGGGTGTATCTTTGGCCGTTGCAGTCTTGCGAGACAAAATAGTTCAATCATCAGGAATTCCATCAAGAGGAATTGCAACGTTTCAATAGAAGTGCCCAAAATGATCCAAAATTCCAATAGGCATTCCCCAAAGCATTTCTGCACTAAGGAGGCCATCGCTAGTAGGTTGGAGGCCATCGCTACTATGTTCTTTTTTATTTCGCGTCTTACTCACAATCTTAACATATCTTAACAATGTTAAGAATGTCTTGGGCATCAATCACGCCGATCCGCTCCATCGCCGCTGCAGTGCAGCGCCTGCCTTTTTACCCAGTCGCGGAGTGGGTCCATTGCCTTCGGAAAAAGGCTCCCCCGAGACATTTCTCCAAATGGATTCTATGTGAGCATGTGTGATCTCCGAAGTGGTTCCAGTATGTTCTAGTGAATTTCTGCCAGAACACGGATCAATAATTATTCACAATCCTTGACAACTCTCCAGCACGTCGCTAGCCTTCCTATCTCTTCGGATTGCTCAACTGAACAAGGGTTCGGATGCCTTATAAACACTTGGAACAGTGAACAGCCAATCCTGTAATTTCCTGCTATGGCGTTTAGAGCTGCCGCACATCGTACGTTGACCCTCGATTGAAGATGGGTGGAGGCTTCTAATGTGCTCCGCCACAAAGCAATAATGCCACAAGTTCTTTGACTGCGGCCATCGATCAAACGGACCTCTCTTTCTTTCTACGTGACCAACGAGGACTCGACTCTGCACGAGGACCAATTCCTTGCATGTTCATGTGCCTCTTGGCCTTCATGTGCCTCTTGGCCTTCATGTGCCTCTTGGCCCCTTTGGCCCGCAACCCGGTTTCACCGGTCGCATCGTTTGTAGATGCGACGCGCCGCCGTACTAGATCCATGCCATCATGCCGCATCCCGGTGATGATCAGGTTGCTCTCCTCAGGCAGGTGGGGTTGAGTATAGAACTAATAGTCTCGCTCGGAACTGTGGCGCAAATCCCATTATAGGTGGTCGAAACTATGGAGCTTTGCTGAATCAAAGAAGACTCCCAGCCTATTCCACTGGACACACTTGGGACCTAATTCAAACAGCTGCCGTTTTCTGGATCTTTGCTTCTGTGGATCTGATCACCCATTGAAATCAAAAGACTTGCAATCTGCAGATCAATCCGGACTTTCCCCAACCACCCATGCTCCAGTCACCTCACTGAACACCATGTTTTCACCTTTACCACGAACAATTTCAAGGCGCTCGCACCGTCCCTGGGTCCCGAAAGCCCGTCCTGACGCGCGGAAAAACCCGCTCTCAGTTCTGCAACTTTGGTTCACATGTCCCATCCTCAGTGGGTCAGGGCGCGGTCGCTCGCGCGCGGCTTGAGCCGCGACCGATCGGCGCGGGGGTGTTCTGAAACCTGTCGATGTGTTTCCTCCCGGAAATGGTTGGGAGATGTCAAAGGAGAGTCATCGCAGAAAATGGTCCAAGAAGTATCCATCACGCAAACACAATAGATCGATACAGTTGCGACATATTTGTCTGGGGACCTCTAACAGAACACAACGCTTTGTGAAGAGACTGGAATGTGGCGGCGCAGACCTTGCTGAGAAAAACCCACGTTCATTTTTTGGCAAAGCTAATATCTATATGTATATATATGTGTGTATATATTAACATTTTATAACTGTATATATATACTGCAACAAGTTTTCGGACCTTTAAAAGTTCGACACCTGTGTTTGGGACACGTTCCCTCTCGGAACAACAATTTTGTGCTTGGCCACAAGGTCATAGAGCTGGGTCAGTGGGAGGTTCGAGCACGTTCGAGCAATTGAGAAGTCCTCTATGGCAAAGAGTTCTGCTCAGGGTTGCCCAAACCACTGAATATGGTCCGTTCTCATGTCCACTTCACTTCTGAATGTGCCTCCTATTCTTCGGAGAGAAGGCCGGTCATTCGCGCCTTCTGACAATAGCCTTCTCTACATTGACATTTCCCATCGATGCAGTTGGTAGGGCCTGAAGCCGACCGAGGCCGTTTTCAGTCTGGGTATGTCTGGGTAGAGGTTTCAAGTGAAGGAACCTTGGTCGTCAATATTTCAAAGCCATTTGGAGACCAATGGGCTGGCAAACGTTAGACTCGAGCTGACTCGAGCCATGACCTTGCACTTTACTTCTCATCAGTGTCTACCGCGACACCTCTTCAATCAGCTAGGAGCACGCCACTATCAACACTTATTAGCCATCAAATGCCATCAACCTTTTGAAGACCTCATCCATCGGACTCTGAAGACCCCGCCTCGCCCGTGCCAACACCACAAGAATTTGCAGGTCCCTCCGGTGTCGACTTGGCACTCCTTTGGTCGGAACGTTGGAACGTCCCGGACAGCACCCGGGATCGAACCGGGGGATGGGAAGAGCCGGTGAACCCGGTGTCGAACCCAATCACGAGGGGTAGGAAGGACTCCAAGTTGAAGAGCTAATGGATGATGTGATGAGGTCATAGGCAAATGTGGGAGTCCTCCCACGGCTGGAGTGATGGGCTCGAAAAGGGAGGCTACTTTGGACACAAAGTCTTTTGTCGCCTCGCTGTGCCTGGCGAACGCCTCTGTTGGGATGGTGAGTCCTAGTCCTTTGAGGTCATCAGGGTCGTGACGACTTGGTGTTCAAGCGTGCACTGAACCTCGGCGCGGCCAGGCCACAGGGGCCCACCTGGATGGATCCTGGGTCTTTCATGAGTCTTTCTGGGTCTCTGCCCGGGAGACATACAAGGAACATCAAGGAACAACGATCACCACCAACAACTCCTGCGACTATTGATGCTCATGTTGATACTCATGGATTGGCTTTCAGTGGGGAATCTTGCCTCCCAAAATGGTTAAAGGTTGTCCACTGACTTGGTAGAGAATGCCTATGTCAGTATGTTGAGAGTCTGTTCCCGGAACAAGTGCCGCTCAACTTCTGTCTTTCTGGTGCGTCGTCCTCTTCAGGAAGATACTTGGCTTGGGGAAAGTCATGGACTTTCCATAGGCATCCACGAGATCAAAATGGTTCAAATCATCTCCACCTCTCCCACCTCTCCTGATCGGGACCGCTGCCCAAATCGGAGGACATAACCTTGGGTGGCACACAGTAGCCATCCTGAAGGGCACGCGAACAAATCAAGGCATGGGAAAAAATATCCCTGAACAACTGGTTTAGAAGCCTTATATGAGGTCATGCCTTCTCCATGTCTAATAGGTGGTGGCCGCCAAAACCAATCACGTAACAAGCTGCATTTGGTCTTTGGATTGAGCAACCATCAACAACATGATGGTACTCAACATTTGCACATGCGTCATGACGCGTCCTCAGCGCAAAGACCGGGTCTGCAGAAGCATTTGCCACTCGAGCACATCGTAGGTCCTGTGGTCAGGAGAGGGGTCAGCAACAACATCAAAAATGATCAATAGGACCTAGTGGACATCAACCTAATTCTCAAATCCTCAAACCCTTGAGCTGCCCTGTAGCCATTTCGACTGTTCTGAGACTTGTGATCACATTGGTGACATGATCCATTTAATCAATTGTACAATACTATTTACCAATCCAACTAGTGCGTGAGCCCGGGACTCACAGTTGATCATGCCTTGCACCTCTGTCACAAATAAGTAAATAACTAAGTACATACATATTTATTTGTGTTTTGTTTATTCACATACGTACAAATAGTAAATATATATATTATATGGGCACAAAAACTAATAGAGGTATATATACTAGGGTGAGATGACTTAGGCCAATTGGGTCGAAATGACATACAACTGTCCCAGGGCAAGTCCTAAGTCATGTACACATGTTAAATTTGCAATTTCATTGGCACACACTCATGACATAGGCCTTGTTGACCTGGTCCTGAGTTTTTTTTTTTTTTTTTTTTTGGGGGGGGGGGGTGGTGGGGGGCTTGCTCCTGGAAGATTAGGGTGAGGTGACTTAGGCCAATTGGGACTTAGGAATCCTGTCCTGTCTCATTCAGAACACATTACTTAGTGCGTTTTTGCTCTCAAATTCCTATCTCTCGATGGTCTATTCATTGTTTAGATACCAAAGTCGTATGTCATGATGCTTGTCAATATAAAATCAACTGTTTTTAGGATCTTTGGTGACAACCTCTGGCATCTCTGATTTTGATGTGTTTCCAAGCTTTTGCTTCATGACATAATACTTGTGGGGGGTAGGCCCGGGTAGGCTAAACCTTCATGACTTAGCCGCCGCAATTTGGAGGTAGTTTTCACAAGTCCTTTGTCATTTCAGCCTAGTATAATTGTATTGTAATGTATTGTGTATATACATATACAGTATATAGTTGTTATACAGGCACTCCTTTTTCTTTGGGGCGCCCACATGCGCCCACCGACCCATCGCTCCCTATGGCTCATTTCCGCACCTCGCGTTCGGCTACACAGGAAGATCCGACAGGTGCCGCCGGTGTCATCGCTGGGGCACACACCACCTGGAGCGGATTCAGACCGGCCCGGCCTGGTCCAAGCGGAAGTGATTTGAGATGAATTGAGCAGAACAGTGCTGGTATGGACATCAGCGTGTGCTTCTACTTGCACCATAACGGTGTCATCTGGCTGCATCGCATGTCATCGCAATGAGCTATGTCAGCTATGTGAACATGTCCAAGTCGATGTTCAGTGCGAAGGTGCAACAAAATTAACATGAATGCGGAGACTAGGACCTCAAAGGGCCTAAAGGGAATGCCAAACAGCTCAGCTTTTCAGGTGCAATGCGCACAAGCACCAACTTCGGGAAAAGCTTTTGTTTTTCTCGCTTCTTTTGCATCTGCACGCTCAATGCCACGGCCTCTCGGCCAAAAGTGGCTGCTGGCAAGGCTCTCTTCGCCTTGGACCAGCTGGAAAACAATCCGCCACCTCCACAATCTCCTTAGCTGTCCGAGCTTGGCCCAAAGTTCAAGGTCGTCTGACCTGACTTGCTAGCGCATCCTTTTGTCAACCACGACTGAACTCTCCCATCCTGCTCCTTCGAGATGCGCCTGCATTTCTGGCATTCAAGCCACTGGCCCCTTCTCAAGACCACATGAGTGTGGTGCACTCGGACTCTGAGGATCGTTCCATCATCTTCCAACCTCCCATGCCTACATTCTGTTCAAGTCAGCTGCTCCAATGCTGCCTTGCCACTTCTAAGGGGGATCTTGGCCCACACCGAATGCATCCAAAGTTGTTGGTCCTGATCTCCCATTTGTGGTCTGGCTGCTCATCTAATTTGCCCTCCGTGTCCTGCACCAATTCAGACATGGCTTGCTTCAGAGTCTTTGTGACTGAACCAGGGCAAGCTGTGGCTTGTTTCTGGCTGATCTCACTGTGAGTGCTACAGGCTTTGATTCTTTTGCCACAGTATTCACAAACTACACCAGAACGTTGATGCTGCCATTTGTGTTGCCCATCAACAGGGGTTTGCTGCACAAGCTGGTTGAACAAGTCAACACGCCCCTTAGGCTTGTGCGGCCGAACGTCTGGAACAGGCTCCACCTTTTCAAGCTTGCCATGCATGAAATGCTCCTTGTCACCCAGAATCGCACTGATCCGGCGGGCGGCAGCTTCATAGATCTGCTGATGCTTCAGGTCCGCTTCCTTGAGCTCAGTGACCCAGGCACTTGGCGCTTCCTTGGCAGCTCTGGATTTGGCCGCCAACTTGGCCTCAACATACTGCAGCCATGCTTTGGTGTCATGCTCTTCCCGACGCGTCAATTTGGTGGGAACATGCAGCAAATGAAGTCTCTGCCACTCCTCCGCTGGCAGGTTGTGCCAAAGATCAGGTGCCACCTTGCTGTCTCCACCCTTCTGCAGCGCTGCCCACCCAGCTCGGTTGGGAATGTTCAATTGATGACGACCCAGGACTGCTTGTAGGAGGAGCCAACAGCCGAAAACCCAACTTCGAGCGTCCGTCGCCTGGCCAGGTGCCAGAGCAGTGCACGTGCCCTCAATTTGCCACGAGCCCTCATGCCACGTCCCAACTGTCAAAGGCACCGCAATCTTTTTGAGCCGAAGATCCTGGCAGGTTGCATGCACACCAATGGCCAATTTGTGAGCAGGGCTAAGCCGAACCGGCCATCCTCTGGCAAAGATCCCAGTGACCTCGCGCGACTCAGGGCCGTCAACTGGCATGAACGATGGGGCCTCAATGAGTCCACGTGCCCACAACATGGTGTCCTCATTGGCTTGAATGCTGCATTGCCACTCGTGGGGAAGCTCTCCCTCATGGTAGCTGCATTGCCAGACCAGATGTTTCATGTTGACAGGAACCTGGCAGAGAGGACATAGCACTCGTTCTCAGGGCCTGCGCCACCGCGTGGTTCTAGCTCAACAATCCCTAAGGAGGAGGCCTCAGATTCTTGCTCTGAATCAAAATCAACATCGAGCTCTGCTTCTGGTGCGGTGTCAGGTTCATGCTTGACAGGTTCCGGCTCGGACTCATGGATGGTCAAGTCGATGAGAGGTCCTGACCCGGCCTTCGGCCACCTAGCGCTCCTTACTGCATCGGGAACAAATATGCCTCTGGTGATTTTTGTGAGCATGTCATCAAACGCATCAAGCGCGCCTCCTTGCAAGTCCCTCGAATAGAGGGCACTGGTGGTTGAACTGGACCTGCTGTGCCTCCCTAGGATCTCACGGTGCTCGAGCGTCAGGCCTGCTTTCGCAGCCCAGGACAAACAAGTGGCCTTGAGGGAATGTGAGCTGATCTTCTGCCCAGGGTTGGGCTCTAGAATCAAGTTCAACAAATGCGTGACCTCCTTGCTGCTCACTGCAACCTGGACTGCTTTGCCCTTGATGTCTAAAGCCGGCAGGACAGGACCTAGAGGTATCCTTTCAAGGCCAAGGCCCAGGATCTCAGCCGCGTCCAACCAATAGTCAAACCAACGATGTTCACTCATGGACCGTGTTGGGATGATGATGGGGAGCAACATGTTTCGTTTTCCCATGAGGCCAGCAGTCTTGTGAACGCTCGTTCCAAATTCGACGAAGCAGGGATCACTCAGGTCTAGACGTTCCACCCAAGAGAAATCAGACCATCTGCACCTCCCTAGCAGGGCTAAAATCAGACATCCTGCAGCGAAACGGTCATAATGTTCGGCTGCATCGCAAGCAAAGGCTTCTAACTTCTTCACCTGGTCGACCGTCAAGGGTGAAGCCTGTGCAATGAAACCCTTCTTTGCTAGTTGTTTTTGGCAAGAACCATGTATGCGCTTCGATGCTGTGATAGATTCGTCAATGCTGAATCCGACAATGTGGATGGCGAAATTTATGGCCTCGCGAAAGGAAGCTGCTGCAGAGGCACCAGCACACACGTCCAAATATCTGACATATTCATATGCAACGGGCTCAGACATGGGAAAAGGTTGATGTCCTGTCGTCCTGCACCAGGTGACATATCTCCATAGTGATGCGACCCTCTTGTTCAGCGTGCCTGCTGCTTTCATTCCAAAGACGTCGTCTAATGAATCCTTGCAAGCACTGACCTGTGCACCTTGTGACTTCATGACCAGCAATTGCATTCCTGTGCTTGAAGCATAAGGATATTCCTCAACTAGTTTATACCACTTCCCTACTGCACGTGCCCTCTGCTCGAGCGCAGCTTTTGCCGCGTCCTCATGCGTGCAAGTGACACGGATGCACCAAGACGTGACGGGTTGAGGAGCTCTGTCATCCATCGTTCCTCTGGTCTGACTGCGGTCAAAGGAGGATGATGATGAACTCAAAGGCAAAACTCGTATCGGTACAAATGAACTCACCACAGGCTGCTTCGAGCAATCAAGAGGGAGGGATTTGCGATTCCCAAAAATGAATGAAAAGGGGCCTTGTTCCCACGGAAGCTTTAAAGAATCTGGCCTGCATCTCTGAAAGGCAGCGTTGATGGTCTTCTCATAGTCAGGACCTAATGACGGAAGGTCCTGTGGCTCGGGGACAGGAATCGTGACTTCGTTCTCAACAAACGAAATATCAGGATCTGGGAGCTTTCTCTTCTGAGCCCAACGCTTCCTGAATCCTCTAGGACTATCTGTCATGATCGATTGACGATCGTCAACGGCGGGCACGAACTCTGGTTCGAAGATTCCAGGAAGTTCTGTCGAAAAATGAGGTTCCGACATATCGGGTGTACCTGAGGTTGGAGAAGGTGCGCGTAAACACACGATGGGGAAACATTCGAACCGCATTCAAGTTCAAGACGTGTGCATGCAAGGGCCTTCATCGGCACCCAAAAGCCCACAAGGCGAATCGTGGGTACCTGAAGTTGGAGGATGCGCACGTACACACATGAAGGGGAAACATACGAACTGCATTCAAGTTCAAAGCGTGTGTATGCAAGGGCCTTCATCAGCGCCCAAAGGCCCACAAGGCGAATCTGGGGTACCTGGAAATGGATGGGGCACACGTGATTTCATCGAGATGACTAAGAAAAAACAGTTGATCTGCATTCAGTCCAACACATGTGCATATAGGGCCTCCATCGGCACCAGAAAACCTACACGGCGAATCTGTCGCCTCACAAGAGAAATTTGAGGCACATTCAAGAAGCTGTAGTGGCATTCCACAACAGACCGATCAAGAAAGAGATTGATCAATGTCTCACTCGCCTCAAACATGACAGAAGCGCTCCCCCGCCCGGCCGCCCTCGCTGGCCCGGCTACTGCCGTGCATTCACGAATGCTCACACATGATTCGTGCTTCACGGCAATCCGAAGCGAATCAAAGCACGAACTGAGTTTGACATGGAACGACGAACCCTGTCACATGCTCAAAGATGAAAATAACGGAACATGTTCAATTGAACAAAGGAACACAACTTTCACAAAGCACATCTTCACAGGTCTTGCAACAACCCCCTTTAAAAGAAGAGCAGTGAAGAGGGAGAGCAAGTGGCGGCGACTTGTTTGCTCATTAGTGTGAAGTGAAGGTGGTGCATTCACCAGGGAGTGGTGGAGCTACAGCGAAAATCCAGTCAAAAAGTGGCCTATGGTGGAGGTGGTGCATTCACCAAAGGGCTGTGGAGCACAGCTAAAACCGGTCAAAAATTGGCCAAGATGCATTCATCGAGGCAAGAAAGAAAAGTTGGCTCAGGGCGCAGGCGCCAAACAGCAGTGTCATCGGATGTCACCTGGCTCTCTTTGAAAAACTCCACGACACACATGTTGGTGATCTGGCCGAACTGCGAGCGACCAAATCTATGAGGAGGTGTCCGGATGACCTCGAAAAACTGGTCTGGATGGACTGCGGGATCGATCAACTCGGTCAGCGGGCTCGGCATCGCGCGGTGTATCCATCAGCCGCAAGTAGCTGCCTAATGGGGCAGTTGTGTCACCTTGTGAAGCTTGTCGTCGAAGCTTGGTGGGTGTCAATTCGCGGCCCGGTGTAGGTGGCTGACCATTGTCAGTCTGGGTCCATTTGTCATGGATGAACGGCTGAAGTGACCGACGCAATCTCGTGAGGGTCTTTTCCAGGACATAGACCCGCCAAGCCAACGTGTCCTCGATGTCAACGGGCTCCGACATTGGGCCGAATGAGAGCCGTTAACAAAAAATGCGCTATAAGTGAAGCGTTGTAACAACGAATGCACTGCAAGTGAAAGCGTTTGCACCATGCTAGTCTTGTCATGCATGTTTTCTATAGCATGGTAATCACGAATAGTGCAACTGCCATCTGAGCCTGAACACGGTTGCCATGATCGTTGAGTTGTGGCTGGCACGAACGAGAAGGCATGGTCCAATTCATTAATGCTTTGGTTATTGGTTGTTAGAATTGAACTCGATCGATCATGAACATTTTTTTGCGACAAGCTGACAAGAACAATAAAAATGTATCAGCGAGCTGACCTGCATTTTTCCATTGGAGCAGACCTCTGAGAGAAGGCCCTCAAATAAGCCAAGAAGAGGGGGGGGTAGTCGCTAATGATCACGATATAACAATAAATTAAAGCCTGCCCCCTGACCCCCCCCTCCTCAATAACAACTTTTTTAAGTTCATGATTTTTCTCCTGTCGCCTGACCCCCCCCCTCAATAACAACTTTTAAGCTTACATTTTTTATCCTGTCCCCTGACCCCCCCCCTCAATAACAACTTCTATAACTTCTTAATCTTCTTGACGGGAAAAGGCAGGGGGGATTGGTGACAGATTGTGAAAGCTAGCGGGGTGGATGCCTGTCAAATTTGCCGACAATTGATTCAACATTGCCCGAGCGCTTGCAGCTTTTGGGGTTTTGAAGAGTTCCGAGGAAGGCAGCGATGTCAGCTGCAATGTGTTTGCAATGTTCAACTGGCAGGGAAATGTTTGTAATTTATTTCCTCAGGCGTCTTACTTCAAGATAGGTATGATAGGTCACATGGTCAGCCCCCATGGAAAATATTCCAAATTGAGTTTCTTGACTTTTTGAGTCTTTGGTGCTGTGTCTGGAGTGGGGGTAGTTGTGTGTGGAAAGGTTTGTTATTTATTTCCTGGGGTGTCATCCTTAAAGATAGGTCATGTCAATGAACATGGTCAGCCCCCATGGAAAAAATTGTTTGACACTTCCCTTTTGGACTTTGTGAATCATTGGTGCTGTGTCTGGACTCGGGGGTGGTGTCTGGAAAGGTTTGTAAATTAATTCCAGGGGTGTCTTCCTTGAAGATAGGTTATGTCAATGAACATGGTCAGCCCCCCATGGACAAAATTGTTTTGGCACTTTATGTTTGGACTTTGTGAGTCATTCGGGCTGTTTCTGGGGTAGGGGGGTTGTGTTTGGACATGTTTGTAATTTATTTCCTGGGGTGTCATCCTTAAAGATAGGTCATGTCAATGAACATGGTCAGCCCCCATGGACAAAAATTGTTTGACACTTCCTTTTTGGACTTTGTGAATCATTTGTGCTGTGTGCATAAGCTTCCGACTGGGTGCCAAGTTGCTTATGCTCTCGATCAATGGCCTCTTGAACGGACTTGAGCTCGTCAAGCAAGGTCTTGTAGCTGTCCTTGGCCTGGTCAACTTTCTTCTGAAGAGCTGGCTTCTTGTGTGCCAATTGGCGGAGTTCACCAACTGTGGCCTTTAGCTGTCCGGTGACATCAACTGGAGCAGCCGCTGGCTTGAGGCCCGCCTCCTTGACCTCTTTGGGAAGCACCTCCAGGTGGCCTGCAGTATCACCTCAAGTGGCTGGAGTTCCGGCTCTGGGGTGTAGTCGATGCCTACGACCTTCAAAGCTTCCTGTACATCTTTGCTCAGACCCGTCCAACCCTTCTTGAGAGCAGTCTCCACTGGGGAGCCCTTTTGCCTTTGCCCAAGGCCTGGCGGTCGATCGACAAGCACCGTTTTGTCCTTTCTGAAACGGTGCTGTCTCCACGTTGGGCTCCAGGTTGTCTGTGGCCACGGTGTATGCCACTTGTCACATTTCCACCTGGAGTCCGAGACACGGTCTGTCCAGATCCACGAGGCCTCACAGCCGCCACACACCAGGTAGGATCGTCTGCCCCTGCGTCTGGCCATCTGCCAACCATCCCATCCATGCTTCTCATTGATGCTCACCATGAGGGCAAGGCCACCGATCTCAAAGGATTCAACCCAGGCAAACGAAAAGAAGTGGTGCCAGTGCCCTGCACGGTGTCCTTGAGGCTCACACCAGTTTGAGCCACCTCAAAGCTTTGAGCCGAAATCTTGAGCCATTCTTCGGGAAAAGCTCTCAGTGCCTCTCTCTCTCCGCCTCCCTAGGTCAAGGCCACAGCCCCAGCCGACACCAAACATGCCCACATGCTGTAACAACATATGGCGGAAATGTCTTCAAGTCTTCAAGATTGGCCCGAGGGGCTAGCCCGCGGCCGTGTTTTCTGATTCCTTCAGGGTCTACCTACACCAGCCTGTGAACAATCATGGAAGGAGGAGGAGAAACCAATGTAGCTGGCACAAATTCCTAGACCACTTCAAATCGCGCTTCATACATCTCTTTTCCCCCGAGACCATGACACGCATCCAAGAAAACTATCTTGCCAGGGAGCTGGTTGATCCGTGCGCATGCTTCTTCAACGGTTTCCTGGCGGGGAAGAAGCGACCAAACCAGGGCGCCAAATGGTTGGTTGTTCGTTAGCATTCTCACTTGGCCCCGGGGGGGGCCCGTGGGGATGTCATGATCGTGAGTTTTTCAACTTGCTGACGCTGCGCCCATTAAAGACGCCCTGCCAGCCCACGGAGAAGTTGGCTTACTGAACTTACTCATTGAGGACTCCCTCGACGATGGGCTGGACGATAGGGCGAGGGGCACGCCATATCACGGGATGGGAGGGACATCCTGATCCCTTCAAGTTCCGGCGAGCAACTTCGAAGGTGTTTTGCCACAGGTGTAACCTTGGCTGTGCGCTGTGGAAGCTGCTGATGGTGAACAGGCACTACAATTGAACCCATCCTCTCCTCACTGGTTCTCTGTTCGAGCATCAAACGGAAGGCCGATAAGAGTAGCACAAGGCACAACAGCTCACTTAAAACCACTTCGACTACTTCATCGAAATCCCTACCAAACAGCCATATACTAGTATGACAAGCTGCTAGGAATGAAGACATGAATGGACATGAAATTCACCAAAAATCAGTGTTGCCTTGCCGCCATGATGGTTGCCTGAGCGAGTTGCAAACACTGCCCGTGGACGTCTGCTCCTCCCTCTTCACAAGACCTGCCATGATTTGAGTAAAGGATGCAAAATCTGCGAAGGACTGTGGTACATCTGTGAAGGATTGTGGTACATCTACAGAATCTGTGGTACACCTGGTTGATGTACACCATCCGTACCGCTTAAGGATCAAGTCTTTCTTTCAAGCCACAACAATGCGTTTTTGGCGCAAAGAATCTGATCGTCCAAGTCAAAGGTTGGTCAACCTTTTGCTCGGGCGAACGCACAACTTAAGTGACAAATGGAGCTTAAATGCTCATTGTGTCTCAGCATTCAAAAGGACAATCTCAAGCTGCCTGGCCTCCACTGCATGAGCAGGTTGGGTCAAAAGAGCATCGGGGCAATTCGGGGCAGCTTGGTGTTACTGCGTTAGGCTGAATGTCCTTAGTCTCCATCAGTGGACAATGAAACTTCACAGTGTCCAATGGAAGCAATGAAAGGTGCCTAGAACTGCCCGGCGCCCCCGCTTCCAAAAAAAGCTGAATATCTGTGCCCAACAATGGCATATTCAGAAGCCAGCGGCTAGGTATTGGAAGTGGTATTGGAGTCTCCTCCGAAATCCTCTGGACTGAGTTTGAGACTCCTTTGCGCAAATGAACCCCAGCATTGCATCATGTTGGAATCACCATTTTACTCAAGAAAAAACGGAATCGGACAGATGGCTCCGACTAAGAGCCCGTCTGGTAACTGAGGACAAGTGCCAAGATGTACAAAAGGCTCACTTCAGACCCTGGGTGTTTGTGGATGATGGGGTGGCCATGGTCATGCCATGATTCACCTACAGAGGTTCCTACAGTATATACAAGATTTGATCCCACTCAAGGTTCAAATAGACATTCGCCTCATCCATTGCCAAGCGTCGTTCACGAAGAAGCAAAAGTTGTCCTTCATTGCATGCTGTGCGTGACACTTTCCCAAAGTGGCCAATGGAACATAATTTGGCCACCTATACTCTTCCAGCATCGCCTTTCTATACGGACTTCTTAACACCTGAACCCAAGATTGTCTAACATCGTACGATCATCCGGAAGATTCTAGTTGTGATTACTACTTAGTTACTACACCATGGTTTACAACCCCTTTCCTACACTCCAGTGACTCAAGTTATGAAAACTGTACAAAGACACCCCGTCTGGGGATGAGTTTTCCAAGACATCTCCAAGTCAAGTGTCAGTGTACTAATAACCACTGATGTGAGCACACCTTTCAACCAACGACTGCAGAATTCCATGATGCTGCCATGTTCCAGCAAGGATCTGGCTGAAGAATAATGGATCCTTTTGGAATCTTTTGGGGTCAACGCTGAAGCTTTTGCAGCTTGGCCTACCCCATATGTACCCTCCTGATCTCTCTGGAGCTCAGCTCTTGTTGCAACAAAAGGCTTCTAAATGCCGGCAGGTGTCAGCATTCCTGAGCGCCTTCTTGGAATCACTTTTGGCTAGATCTTGACATGCCACTCGCCTAGGTTGCATCAAAAAGAGAAGCAAACGTTGGTTGGAGCAACAAACGCTGCACACCCCGCGGGCTGGACAGCTCCCAAATCTGCACACCTGGGAAGCTGTCAAGACCCCTGCCTGCTCCGATGGCACGCCCTATCGCCTGCTTCCTGAATTTCAGGAGACAAACCTGACTTGACACGTATATACAGCATATATTTAGATATAATATAATATATAATATATATATATTTATACACATACATACGTACAATATATATATATATGTGTGTGTGCATCCATATGTATATATATACTTATGTTGTTGTAAGAGATTAGAAGAGACCAAGTGGAACCAGGTTTCCCAATGCTCTCTTCCTCAATGATTCTGATCTGCCAAAGGATCCGATGAGGGATTTTCGCGTCACGGTTGCCCCATGCCCATGCTTTGTCCCTTTACAGTGGTTTCAGAGTAGATGGCAAAAAGCCCAAGATGTCCTTCAGATTCCCATTCCTATGTGTTCTCCATACACGTTAAATAAGCTTTAGTAGGAAGTCCATGTTCCATTCCCACCACCTCCACTTCACATCTCTGAAGGCATCCACGTGACCCATATGCTTTGAGGCAGTCAGACCCAGAGCCCTTGTAGCACACGTCATCCGTGAGCGAAGTCCTCAGCGTGTCGTTCGTGTTTGCGTCGCCATAATCTTGTGGGTGCCGGGCGGCCTGACTGAAAAACGCCCAACGGCCTCCACCCAAGAAGAAACTAGTCCGATATGATATATACTGGGGTCAGATGACTTAGGCCAAAGTGGTCCGATATGAAGTGGTCCAGGTTTGCGGAGGGAAAGTCCTAAGTCGAGGTGTAAAATTGGCCATTTCAATGGCAAACATTCATGACATAGGCTAGCTTGACCCGTTATCATCGGTATTTGCCGGTCCTCTTCCTGGAAGATTAGAGCTAATGAAAGAGAACATGTCATAGGAACGTCACTATGTCTTTATTCTTTGCAATAGTCGTATGTCATGGATTGTTGTGGGTTCTCTTGCTCGATGTATGGGGTGTGATGACTTAGGACGTTTGCCTGTTTCAAAAACCAATGCACGAGCCACACAAAGCCGCTGAAATGGAATGCGTGACTTAGGCTTTAAGCACCGACAAGACAGGAGTGCACTGAGTACGGTTTCTGGACGCATACAAAGAAACAGGTGGTTCAAAAGTGATGACCTGGGCTGTGGGTTTCTGTAGAACCAACCCTTTTCTCCATTGTGGGTTGCCAGCAACGTCGGCAGAACAGGAGGAAATTGCTGCTCTCTGCAGGTAAGCGTGCTTTGGAGATGTGATTTCTGCTGAAGATGATTATAGGTGCACAGTGCACACAAGTCCTGAAACATAGGACTCGCGCTTGTTCATGGTTGCACCCCTCATTCCAGTGTGGGTTGCAGGACGGCTCCAAGGATGCTTGGCAAGCCAAGTCGGCAAACAGAAGGAGACTAGTTCTAGTTGTGGTGAACTTTTTGTCTGATGTCTGTTTAGGTGAGAGTGATTGGATGCAGAGTGCCCGCAAGTCCTAGGTCATAGGGGTCTTTGACAACGATTCCACCCTTTTCTCCATTGTGGGTTGCCGGATGGTGCCAAGGATGCTTTGCCAGCAACGCCGGCAGAACAGGAGGAAATTGCTGCTCTCTGCAGGTGAGCGTGCTTTTGGAGATGTGATTTCCGCTTGGGTAACAGTGATTAGGTGCACAGTGCAGTCCTAAGACATAGGACTCTCTCTGGTTCATGATTGCACCCCTCATTCCAGTGTGGGTTGCCGGACGGTTCCAAGGATGCTTGGCAAGCCAAGTCGGCAGAACAGAAGGAGACTAGTGCTAGTTTTGGTGAGTCTTTTTAGCGTGATGTCTGTTTACGTGAGAGTGATTGGATGCAGAGTGCCCACAATTTATAGGGGTCCTTGTCCTCCTACTAAAGACGATGATGTGATAATGGATGATAGTTGATAGGATTCTGTATGAACCGTGAGGCCTGTGTGAGGGGTACCCTTTGTGAACTTGAAAACCTCAAGATTTGATCGAGTTTTAATCAAGGAGAATGAAAAAACATGGCTAGGGAGCTTGTAGGGATCGTGGAAAAAAGGGTCCCTGACTCAACACTCACACCTGCTAAGCATAAATTCCGCAAGGCATTTGGCGATGTGACTTAGGCCCCTGTCCTGAATCTTTTAGTGCACCTGACTATGTCATTGAAGTTTACCTCTATGTGTTTTTGCACTCAAACTCCTATCTCTCCGGTGCTTTTCCATTCCTACAACACCAAAGTCTTACGATTTGAGAGATCGTTGATGATATGCTCTGACATCTCTGATTTAGAGGCTTTAGCTTCATGACATAGGAGTTACGGACCCCCCGGCCAAACCTCATGACTTAGCCACAAAAATTTGGAGGTACTTTTCACAACTCCTGTGTCATGTCACCCTAGTATAGTTTACATCTCAGTCTCTCTCTCCCTCTCTCTATGCATTTGTGCATGCAGTATGTAATTCGGTAATTCGATATTAAAACCCCTGCACATCTTTCCCAACTTTTGTCCGGAAAACTTGTCATTGTTTTACCTGCTGAGACTTTTGCATGTGGTCCAAGCTCATGCCTTTGCCCAAGCGGCTCGTGATGTGAAGCTTCATGAGTCAAGGTCTCCAGCTGTGTGCCCATCGGCGCTTTAATGTAACTGGGCAAGTCAGCCGCTGGGAGGAGCAAGGACTAGGACCAGGGCCAAAACCATGACATCTAGCACCTGAGATTCTTGTCTCGAGTATGGCAAACGAATGCAAATCATAGAGTACCGCGCTCATGGATGCCATGGGGGGTTCAGTGGTTCTCTGACTGACAGTGGCTCTCTCACAGCGGATGTGGGTCAGCAATAAGCCAAGTGGCTCATCACACAAATAAAACAAATATTGGCCACCTTGGTCCACACGGAAACATCCGGCATCATACAACAGCCGTGCGCCAGCGAAGCCCAATCCAGGTGAATTCTGAAAGAGTACTCCAAAATTCGGATTACAGTATAATTGGATTGCAACACCGCAAGTGGGTGATTTTACCATCTTCTCCTCGCCATCACTGTAAACGGTCTGCTGCAGGGATTGTGAACCAAGCTGATCCAACTGTCGATGAATGAAGCCACCACCTGCGAACCGGGAAGCGACCAGTATGCTGACTATATCCTATTCTAATTTCCTCCTGACTCCTAGCACGTTTTATTAATATGTATCCTATAACATGTTCTTTATTTATTGTGTCCACATCTTCCTTCATCCAGCGCCTGCCAACCAAGCACTCCACCACCGAAACTGAGGGCCCTCACGGTCATTCCTCAGCGCGTGGGAGGCAAAAGAGCGGGAACTGGCAAGGCGACTCCTCAAACCGGTTGAAAGGGGCTCCGGTGTTCTCTGGCGACCAGCATGCCATGTTCTCTTGGACCCTCGCAGTACTCGTAAAACTGCTTTGATAGGGTCATGTACCATGTTCATCCATTGTCTAGGGTACTTTGGAGGGTCTAGGAAGTCTAAAAGTACTTGATCACTTGTTAGTTGGTTTGTCTCGATTTTGGAGCATTTCTGGGGGGAATCCTAGGCGAGCAAGTCAATTTTCGAATCTGCCTCAATGATCATGCTCAAGTTCAAAAAAACCCAGCTGAAGGCACGTGAGTAGGACAAGCACAGCTTGTTTGTAGAAGTTCTGTATTTTCGGAGGAGGCTGGAATGGTATCTAGTTACTAGTTGCTGTATCTTGCTGTCTGCCTCCTTGGGCCGTCTATAGACTCTGTCCAAAGCTTGAAGAGACCATAGACTCCATAGACCACATCAATATCATCCTTGTCTTTCACGCTGTGAGATTGATGGTGTACCGAAACCCTCTTCACTCGGGCCGTAGTTTTTCTTCTGTCCAAAGTTCTAGGTGGCAAAAACCTTTGTTGGTATGGGTGAGTGAAGACCTCTGCATGTCATTGCTGTGCTTCTCAAACCTGTGCAGGCCCCCCAAAGCACTGGTAACGTAGTTGCTTCCCCCCAAACGAATCAATCCATTCCCAAACCAGGAGGCTGCTGGGGAGGGGGCCTGGCAGCATTTTTTATGTTTCATTCCAGTGCATTTTCTTGCCGGGCTTGACAGCTTGCTAGCCAGCAAAGGTCTCTTGCTTTCCAGGTCAAGGTGCTTGTTGTAGGGCGGGTTCGGGTGCACATAGGCATAAACATTCTCTCTGCACTGCGGGCCAGGGTATTCATAAGCCACGTTGGAGAGCAGCCGATTCACCTGCATTTTTGAGGCAGTGAGTCGAAAGTGACTGAACGCTCAGTGACCTCATCCTGACCTGGTTTGTCCAATGCCCTGGCAAGTCAAAAATAGCCAAAGCTGCTGAACAGCATCTTCAGTTCGAGAAACCACCTGCAAATCTGCAGGGTAGATCGTGCAAGTCCCATGTGAAGGCTGAGCGCACCCCGACTGTAATTCTTGGAGTCCGCGCCATATATTCCGCGGCTAGGGTAGCATCATGTAGCATCCAGATCCCCTCATTACAAACCTCACGGACATCCCGAACTGAACAAAGATGAAAAAACAAAGCCCAGCTTCTTCGGGTCCTCATTCCACCCATCGACCCAGAAACTGCCTGAGTGGAGACCCGGCGAACTTCCTTCTTCGAAGTGGTGCTCTTGTCCCCGAACCAAAGCATCCTGAGCTGCGAACCAAAGCATCGGCCCAAGGGGAGGGGGCCCAAGGCGAAGCCATCCTAAAGGAGTGGCATTGGTCGATGCCTCTTTCGGTCGAAACGACCGTGGCGGAGTCGGAGTTCGACCGTTTGTTTTTATGACCGTGTATCTCCCCTTGTGTTGTTTACCCTTTTTCTCTGGGGTGGAGAAGAAAACTTATATATACTTACACAGTTGCCATGCAGCAAAAGATATATATATATATATAATATATATATAAATATAAATATATATATATATACATGATTATGTGTATATATATATATATGTTTGTGTGTGTGAGATATTAGATCTCATTGTATTCCGCAATCATCACCAAGGTAAGTTATTTAGCTGCCGGTTTGTATCGGTTAGTATAACATGGTATAACCAGCCCTACCTGCCCTACCTTTGCTGGACCAAATCCAACTCTGGGTTCTTCAATTGTTGGAAATTGTTGAGGGATATGACACAACAATGATTGGTGTTCAGAGTTCACGCGTTTCATAGACTTCTTCACCAAATTTCAGGCTGCTCCACCTGTTGCCTCCCTGCGTGGATTGTGCAGATACGTGCAAATTCTGAAGCATACAAGTTCTCTCTATATGTCTATAGTAACTAGTTCTCTCTGCTGCCCCCATCACAAATCGAATGGAGGACAGGAGAAAGGATGGAAAACGAGAACCTCAGGATTGCTGTCGGAGTCGCAGCTGACATGCCAAAACGCTCCAGTTATTTGCCCCAAAAGAAGTCAAACATGTTGTCACACTCAATCATCAATGCCTTCACCAAGCCAACAGGCCAAGCGTCATGGTAGCATCTGCCTGACGGTCGCTCAGGGTGGATTTACCGTAGAAGGGGACCTCGAAGCTTTCCAGGGCAGTGGAACATGGCTGAAGACTTGGCCATCAATGGTGATGGTATGCATTCGGACCTTTCCAATTGGAAAGGAATGGACTCAAAGGCGGTCGGTGGGCCGACCCCATGCCACAAGTAGCAGCAACGCTTGTGGCGCTTGCGGCATCTTGGGGCTTGTATGATCAACATCCATGCTATGGCTATCTGTATACACTATCTGTTGGGCCCATCCTATTACCAGCAACAGTGGATGATGATGGTTAGTAAAGGCCTTGTTCAAACATTGTCACAGGTAACAGGACTGACAAACCCAAACTATCTGTATATATCTACACGACTTAGTTCATGTACCATGCCTGGACTCGCACATGCTCCCGTCAAATCCGTCGAATCCATTCTACCACTCCCTTCTCCTGCCACCAGGGCGACATGACTCATGTCACTCATGTCATGAAACAATTCCTAAGCTATTGCCAAACAACTTCGAAATGGAGGTAGTTGGAGCCCTAGGGCTGGAGATGACGTGGGTTTCCCAAGGCCTTGGCGCTGGTGATGGACCGGATGGCCGTGGCCGTGTAGGCTTGCCTCGGGTCGGCTCCGAGATGCCAAGACAACGCGGCCGGGATCGTCACTTCTCGGTTCGTTGGATCTGGTTGTCCAAGTTTCATCATGGGAGCCCCATGAACGAAACGTCCTGAAACTTGAATCTCTGACCCCAAAGGTCCCGCAGCACAGGTCCAAAGTAGTTATGTAACATTGTGTTCATGTGCATTGTACATTTGTTATGCCCAACGCATGCATGATCAATCTGCCAAGCTTTGGTATGTTCGGCTCCGCAAGTCATTTTATAGTCTTGAAAGCAAATTCGACGTGATATGGTCATGGCACGGCGCTGATGTTAGTTTTGAATTGAACCTGCCAGTTGGTCAGGGATCATGGGCGTGGTTAGTGTGGATTAGTGTGGTTTATATATTGTGCATTGATTTAATTGGTTTGCATAATTTGCTTTTAGCGGAACGCCAAACCTTGTTTCCATGGAGACCATGGAACCTCCGAGTCAAGTCACGCCTTCACCGCCAGCTTTGTTACATCGTCGATCCACTCGGACCTTCCAAGAAGTCAGGGGAGGGAGGAAAAAAGGCCATTATGTATATAAGTCATTAGCCGTGCAAAAGTGTGAATAGAAAAGCTCGACATACCAGTATTCATGGCAGCCGGATAAAATAGTTGTTTCTGGATTCTGGCAATGCTGGATTTTACTTCCGTGTGGCCGTGTTCAACTGGGAGAATCGAAACGTTTCCAGGCTTGGCGTGGCTTGCTTGTTGCCAAAGACTTTTAGACTCACCCAAATTCTGCTCAGTTGAAACTGAGACTTCCATGAACACCAATTGGATCTGCAATTTGGAGATGAACCGCCTCCAACGACACATGAATCAAGGACACTGCACATGTCTCCACACGAACAAGGGAACAATTGACTGTTGGAGAACAAGGGCCATCATGGGCCCTCCAAAGATCTGTCTGTATGATGATCGATGGAACCCAAACACAACACAGACCTCTATGGATCTCCATTCACCCAGCCAGGCGCTGGCCGGCGCGTCGCCACCTCCTCGCTCCTTCCAGAAACGAAGCGGTGCTCGAAGGGGAGGCGCTCGCCTCAATGAGCCACGAACCCGGTGCCACCGCGTTCGTAAGGTGCAGTCGCATGGTGAAGTGCGTCAACGTGGCTAAAGCGTGGTGAAGTGGTCCCCCCTGGCTTTTGTAGCTAGGGGGTGATGTTAGGCTCTTTTTGGGACATGTGTCTTGGGGACCTTCGACCGGCATATGAGCGTCGGAACTGTCCTGAAGATCAGTCCGAAAACATCTCGTTGGTCTGCGAGCTACTTTGACCGCCTCAGACCGCAGCACATCTCCTATGATCCTTGGGGAAGCTAAGAGTGAAACTGTTTGACAGCCAAAGCAAGTGCTCTCCGTGAGTGCGACACTGCCAGTACGGCAGTGCGTTTCAAAAAGCAACTGGGAGCACAAAAGGTCTAGGGTGGGCAAGACAATTCGTTAACCCTCAATAATTGAAACGTAGCGTTCAAAGCTCGAGGCCTTCCTGGTGAAAGCAGAATGGAGCAAAGACATACCCTCCTCCAACCAGTCTGGCCTCGCACCAACGCGCCTTCGGACGTCCGTGGCCGCGAACGAAGCGGTTGCGCAGGTGCGAAGGTGGTGCAGACGAAGCCATCTCGACGAGACGCACCGATGGGGCCAAGGTGCCACAATGTTGTTGAGCGGGTAGATTCGAAACAGATTGCACACGACCTGAGCAGTGAGGAAAAGAAGAACAAACCGTATTTTCAGCTGGACAGAGAAGGGAACAGGCGCAAGTTCAGCAAGTGGCACACATGGAGCTGAAACTAGTTCCCTTCTCCCAGCAACAGAGGTTAAGTAACCTCAAAAAATAGGTCCCGTAATATCCCGTAATGGTTAGAGTCTATTGCCACTACGGGATTATCCCAATACCCAGGGCCGGGTATTATCCCAATAGAACCCAAATAGGTTGAGTCTATTGGGTTCTTCAACCTCTGCCGGCACTTCGTGCGTCGAAATGGCGGCCGACGGGAGGTACCGAACGCGGGGCCTCCTACGCCACAGCGACCTCGCTGTAGAACGGCACAGGGTATGACCGCACTCTGGACCGCTCATGACTGCTTTCCAAACAGGTGAAGCACTATAGAGTCACTATACTACAACGAGGCTACAATGAATAATTACAAGTACCTTCGAGTTAGGAAGGCCACATGTGTTGTTGCGTACCAGGACTTTGACAAAGCTCACTCTCTTAAAGCCAAACCCCTGCGTAGCCAGCGTCGGATCTCTCGGACAGTTGGGGGGAAATCATCAGGGACACGTCCGAGGTGCCACGGTCATCTCCCCGGGCTTCAAGGCCGGATAGTTCAATGCATCCAGCCTTGGCGGTGTCTCGTCCCAGATCAGAAGGGGGACGTTGGAAAAACCGGTGAGCCAAGCAGTGGGCTGCGATGTGCTTAAGAGGTCCTAAGAAGTGCTTCCCCTCAAAAAAATGCGACACAACTTCTCAATCTCTGGCTGTTGGAAAAAAGTCCAACCTGGTACTGTAGAGGGTGGACTTGCAACGCTCCCAAATCCTCCACGTTGGAACATTGGACTTACAGCACTTCCCTTCCTCCAAGTTCTATAGACTTCACTGGAAGGTCCCAGGGCTTCAGGACAGTCCCGGGGCACCAAGTGCATTGCCGGGAGACGCCTCAAGCTGGTCGCTTCGGTTGGCCTCGGGGGCTGTTAAACAGGTCGGCCACAAGCGCCTGTCTGAAGAATCAACGTCTGCCATAGTGGTCACATACGCTGTGCATCTGTATTTCGGAAGAATGCATTTTTAAAATTTTGCCTGCTGCGCACCCCAATCTAAACAGATTCTAAAGTGGTATCAAAAGTAACAGTGGTATCAAAAGTAACATGGTATTCGCATCATTTGCATCACCACAAGAAGGATACAGAAAAATAGCAGAGACAACCTCCAATCTGGATGGACAAAAGCATCCGCTCACCATCTCATGACCATGAAGGACTATCTTGGAGCAGCCCAATCCCCTGCAGGACCAAGTCCGGACCCCCCCCACAAGGCGGACCATCTAACTGTCCAACGCCTTCTCCGGCGCATGGAGCAACTCCTTGAGCGCCGAGACCTCCTTGCCATCGCCTCGGGATGGTCGGAAGGGCTTCAAACCAGCAAAGCCAAAGGAGCGTCTTGCAGCGTGAAGTCTTCAAACTTGGTGAAGTTACATGAATGTGGGATGAGCTCTGGGCAGCGGGGCGTCTCTGGGCAGCGTATAGTTAGCAACAGCTATAAGTCTATAAGTAGAAGTGGAAGAAGCTCACTATGTCACAGCTTATGGGCTGATGGACGCCAAAAGAATTTCAAAAGACACCCAACTAGGCTGCACCAAGGGCAGCCTCCCAGAATGCAATAATATGACCTCACAGCCTCACAACCGCAAAGTGTGACACTACATGCGCCACATCTGTGTGAGATGAGAAACTCACATACTACTTGACGAAATGAGGCAAACGGAATCCATTGGGTGTTGCGTCATTGTGCGATCGAACATTTGCACCTATATAAATAGGCATCCATCCCCCAGGTCAAACGCAGGAACCCAGGCTCAAGGATCATGCGCCTCGTGGCCTTCATGATGATGTTGACTGTTGAGTCAAGAAGTCGACAAAACAGAATAAAAGCATATAATCCCGAGTACCTATTAAAGACGGACCCCTATTAGAAAAAAATCATGTCGGAAACCCCTAAATACGGTTTATATTTGTTTTTAAAGTACCGCCCTTTCAAGCCGCTACTAAACTACCAACATTGCCGACTTTGGAGGATTTTTTTAAATTAGGTTCCAAAAACAACCGTAACTGCCCACCTCTGTCTGCCCTGTCTATCCACCATGACACGCCGCGCTTACACCAGCAGGCTTTCCTTCCCCCAATGGCACAGACTCACGCAAACGCACTTGCCACCGAGGTCATGCAACACCGCATGGCACAGCGGCATCACCTTTCGAAAGCTTTAGCTGTTAGTCTACTGAAGAATCACTATTCTAATGAAGGTTTTTGTAGGGGAAAAGGAAAGGCCCTTCGATCTGGAGCTTTTTTGCATTTTTGATACGAGTTTAAAAAAGGATTTTATACAAAATTTTACTGATTTACTTTTTGGTTTTGAAGCTCTTCCCAGGTGACCCTATTTTGGACCCCCCGATTTCAGGGACCCCCTATTAGAAAAAATGCGACCGAGGTTTCCTTATTAGGGGGGGGGTGTTTTTTAATAGGTGGACCGGATTAAAACCAATCCTACCCTACCTGGGTCGTTAAGCATATCTCATTATGAGAGGCTCCGCCCTGTTCAAACCGATGTAATGCACCACACAGCGACCAGTCGGCTCGCCCCTCCAAGGTGCCGGTCTCTGGCAGCTGCCCCGGCGCTTCGCCCAGGGTCTGTGCCGAGCTATTGGCGCTCAGGGAGAACCTCGGTGGTCACGTGAGACGGGAGTGAGACCCTGAGGCTCTGCAGGTTTGGCCCAAACACGGGCGATCCTCACTTTTGCCGACTTTCGGTCAGAAAGACAAAGCCGGACAAGTCTGCAGGCGGTCCATCCACTTGTGAAAAGTGGGAGGTGGGAATGGATTGGGAGAAGTGAGCAGTGAGCACATGGCAGGCATTCAAAGCAGTAGACCGAAAATAAGGTAGTTCCATCAGTTCTTTCACTTCTCCACGGCAAGTGCATCAACAAGTTTCTCGGCAAGCAAATGTTGGGCTTCAGAGCACAGCCTTCAAGTGATCTGCATGCAGATTAGTCTTATAGATGCCTACTTCCATATATGCAAAGGCTGAGATCTCATTGGTCCACCGCTGTCCGCCGCCGACCTCGCTGTGCCCTCCTGCCCCCCCGTCGCGGAAAAGCGCGAAGAAGAGGGGCTCAACGCCCTCGAAGGCGCTCGCCTGGAGCCGCAGGTGACCGAAAGCAAGCGGCCGAAGGCACCCTGCGAAGCCTCCCTACGGCCTCGGAACCCCCTTCGGATCGGGGGAGATCCGAGGCCGTAGGTGGGCACATCAGCCCCACGTTCCTTCTGTTTGTACGGTTGGCTGTGCCCATTCCAACTGGTGGATGATTTAATGGGGGCACCAAGTTTCAAGAACGCCTTTTTGAGACTCACCAGCATTTGACCTCGCATCGAAGCACTGAGCGTGCACTGTGATGCAGAATGGACAGGACTGCCCTGTGGGGTACCACTGGCAAAAGGCGCTGCTTCACGGACCACAACCACTGTCATCATCATTTCGGCTACGGATGATCACCCCAGCAAACGTACTCAGAGCTACATCGTCTGAGTATGTACCTCTTGTCTTTCGTGAGCAAAATGTCAGGAGTAAGGAGCACCTTCAAATGTCTTCAGGACATTTCAAGTAAGAGCAAGGGTATTATATATACACATTTATATAAGCTATACGGTTTGTCTCCATGCATTACTTGATTCCTCTTCACCAGGAAACTGCAGTGTCCACAAATCATCGATGAGTACAAGCCCGGTCTTTGCCTAAGTAAGAGGAAGCGCGTCTCCGGTGTTTTGGGGCTATCTGGGCCAACCAAAAACCCGGGCCCCAGGTAGGACCCAATAGGAAAAGCTGATGAGAACCCACTTGTTGTCCAAGCCAACCCCCATCTCACTGGGCCAAGAAGTGCAGTCACGTGGCCGAAACGTCGATGTCGCACAAAGGCTTTGATGCACCATCAGGCATGTAGCAGGCTACGTCCTTGGTGAGGGAGGCTGATCAAACCCCCTTTGGGGTGCCATCAACACCTCAGAAGTTGCCAGCCTTGCAATGTGCGAAATTGAATCAAAGTTGCTGAGGTGCCTACACTTCCACTCACTTAGATGGACGTGGACGAGTGGGTCAAAGCAAAATCGCTTCCTGGGGGCTATTTTCCACTTCCATGTCAGTGGGTCAGAGTGTATATCACTTGGTCATTGCATTGAATTTCCAGACGAAGGAGTGAGCTGGCTGGCAGGAAACACACAGTTGTGAGACCCTGCTGTTCTCAAGTGTTCAAAAATCAGGAAGAGGTGGTCTGTTGGGAACACTAGAGCCCGTTCAATCACCTCCAAAACATTCTGAAACAAGAGCCGCGCCAGTCTCAAGTGCTTCCCTTCAGCATCCGAGCATCAGAAGCGGGTGGCCGCCTTTCCTTTGGAATGCTGGCGACGAGCTTTTCCTTAGCACAAAAAGGCTCTTTGAACACCACGCAACACATTGGCATGGGGCAGACTTCCTGCGTTTCATAGTAATGCTTTTTTGTAGTCGACATCATCCCGCGGTATCTTATGTCCCTTCTGTGGGGTCACTGCATCGATCAGCTGGCACATTTTGTGGAGGAGATGCCTAATCTTGCTGAGACTTGCGAGGTACAAAGTCACATGGCTGCCCCACTGGCTGCCCCATAGGCATCCACGCAGGTTGCCTGTAGCTGCCTCACAATATCATCATTGTGGCCTTCGGTGATGAAACTGAGCCGGTGTGTAGACCTGCAACATCCCCAACCCCCAACCCCTGTTTCTGCCCAAATCAGAGTAACCGTTCAACCGTTCAACCAACACTCTCCAACCATACCGAGGGGCGCAAAGGTCCATGCACTTCACGGCCACAGCCTGGCAACACTGTGCTCCTTGCTTACCCGAGTTTATTGAATCAGTCGAGCAACTCACCAAATGATGCCGTTTCAGTCGGGGCCTGAGACAGCACTGTTCACAACCGTCGTTATGGAACAACCCGTCAACGTGGGACCAGCGGACTTCTTTCGCGGACGTCCCTTAGCTACTAGTAGCTTCTTGTTACTAGTAGCGATGCCCCTGTTACGTGTTTTTCTTTCCTTCCGGTTTAAGACATTGGATCAACTGGGTCGTGATCACAATATGATGCTCGGACCATCACAAGGAATTGTTGATGTTGGCGACGATCTTCGGATACATATAGAGTTAAGATGAGTTAAGTAAGCAAAGAAATTACATCAACAATTGGCAACTCTTACTGCGATTGGTAGGCCAAACTCTAATAAAAGTTGACCCGGGCCCCAGCCCCAGAGTGAGCTGTTGTTTAAATCAATGATGCCACACCCACATATTGACCAGTCATCTTCCCTCCCTGTGAAGCCAAAGTTACCCAGTGTCCTTTGCAAATGCGCCACAGTGCTTAGGCTGGAAGCAAACCCGCTATCGCTTGAATGTTTGTCGGTTCCCGTCTTTTGCTTTGCATGCGCCGTCTCACTAGCCCAAGCTTGACGGCAGGGCATCTCTGGCCAGCGCACGTTTGTCATCCTGCAAATTTCATGCCACATGTGATCAATTGCCTGAGAAACTAAACACAGGGACTCCACTGACGTATTGCTTACAACTACTTGTAGGTTGTTCTTGGTTCTTGCATAACATGTCATTAGCTGACTTCCGCTTTACAGACATGCGTTGCATGACGGCCAGCTACATAGAATTAAAAAGCAAATCACGTCAATTGATTGCAATCAAAACAAAAGCAAATCCATCTGTAATGAATGTTGTAAATGGTCTCAATGGGCGGCTCGCCTCGGCTCCGACTCTACTCTACGACTCGGTCCTGCAACCAAAACCGGTCCCCGGTCCCCGGTCCCGCACTGGCTCACGGGTCCCGGTCCTCCTGGTTCTCAAGTCCCAGGTATTGATTAAAAAAGTCTAACCTGAGCAAACGAACCAGGGCAGGGAGATGTGGGGATGAGTGATGCAAGAAGTCGTGCATCCATTCTCCAAGAGATGTCCGAGATGTTCTTGACCTTTTTTTGATAGTAAAATATAGTAAAGGATGGTTTGTGCGTCCAGTATGATGATTGTTGGCAACACGGATCAACGATCAACATGGTTTATAACTTTATATGCACATTATACTACGGCATCCAAACAGTATCCAATGTCCCTTTTCCAAGCGGAAGGTCACAAAGTGTCCGGTGAGTGCTGTAAAGCCAGGAAGGCATCGCTCACTGTCACAGTGGGAAAATGTTTCGTCCAGGTTATATACATTAAATTACTTGACACATCGGCATTCTTCCATCCAGAAATCGTTAAGACTATATAAATGCTCCACACCGCCTCCAACGGTCGACACCGCGGGTTGCACCGAAGCCCCTCACGGCCGCAGGGAGCTACAACCACCTAATGTTCAGATATAAAATATATATATATATTTATTTATATCATATATAACCATAAATATACCTGCACAAATAGAAGGGACCCATACCGGAGGTCTTCACAAAATAAATTCCTTATATGCGACCCAGGGCCCAGGGTGACCTAGGTCGGTCTTTTTGATGTTGCATTGCTCGAGACAGCACGATTCTCAGCCCGAGATGGCGCGCATGTGTCATGCACAACTGTCAACTTAAGTGAACAAACAAGCTGTCTTTGTTGCTTAGCACATCTTCGCATACTGGCCGAGCTGACTTGATTGCTCTAACATGCAAAGGGCGCAAACATAGAGTTTCCACCAGCTGTGCGTACAAAAACGCGCCTCTCAAGAAGCAGCCAGCCCAGAAAGAACTCAAGTGGTCCTACTCATGTGACTCACGTGGTTTTTTGTCAACACCAACCTGGTCTGACCCGGAAATGGTCCGGATCCCCAAAGAAACATGCATGTTTTGGCCAAGGCGACACAGAGGAGCGCGAGGCCATGATGTGCTCCGAAAGCTCTGCGGCATGGATCACCTGTGGGGCCGATGGATGAAACAAAACTCCAAGTCCAGCTTGGAATTCGGTTAGGGCATGGCATCGCTACTAGTAGCTCCTGGCATCGCTACTAGTAACAAAGGGCAGTGCTACTAGCAGCAAGAAGCTACTGGTACCAAACAGTTCCTGGGTGTTTCAACCTGTTTTTTTTGTTTTTTGCTCTCGGACAAGGATTTTGGAGAGGAAAGCACTAGAAAAGGAAAGGACATTGGAAGGCAGTGCAGGGTGTGGCTTTTAAAAGTCCATTGCGGGGTTGGGGGGTTGGGTTTTTCAGGGCCCAGCAATCCCCCAACAGATCACACAACTCATGAATGAAACCTCTAAATTATACATTCCTTCCTTCCTTCCTTACCCACCAGCAGCACAGGACCCTGGCCACTGCAACAAAGAGCCAAACTAGAGCCAGAACGAACCAATAAATGCTAAATACCGTTAAAAGAACACAAGCACACAATCACAGAAAAAAGTCCCTCCATGTCCAGTGGGACAGTTGGAGTGGTCCAAACAAAGAATTAAAAAATAGAGGAAGAGTAGGAAGCACTTATTTTGTTTTTCAGCAGATTTAGGGTGACCAAGGAGGGTACGGTACTTCATGATCGCTCAAGAACCTTTTGGTGCAAAATGATCCTGATAACACACTGAGAAACAATTATAAACTATAACACTATTATGACATGTAATATAGTCAGTTTCACAAGGTTTGGTCCGGCAACTTCGGATCGGTTTTGGAACCTTTTGACTGAGTCCGATAGGGAAATTCTAGAGTCGATCTAAAGTGGTATCGATCTTATGACCAGGTCACCACCCCAAGTGGTGGTCAATCCTGTCAGAAGTATATAAAATCATCCCCAGCATACTGCCACGCCGATCCAATCTTTAGCTGTGGGCAGCGCCGAGTGCCGGCTATCTACGATCCAGGGGAAGGCTGCAAGTTCACGCAGAGAACCCGCAAAGGAAATCACACACAAAGAGAAACACTCCACAACTCGCCTCAAGATCCTTATCCGCCGTGGTTCCGTAGTATTCGCTCGTGAGCTTGTTGATGCCTTCACCTCAAGACCCGCCGACAGTGACACATCGGCCCCCGTCCCAGTCGGGGGCGGGCGGTTCCCGGTTCGCACCGGTTCCGCGAGCCACGCGACGCGACGCGACGCTCCGCACATCGGGAAGCCCGCTGGGTGTGGCTTTGCAGTAAGGTCCTGGGGTGTAGGTAGCCATGTTTTGGGGCTACGTGTGACCGCCCTCCTTTTTCTGATCCCAGGAGTGAGTCATCTCTTAGCATCTATGTCTTGGCAAACCTGAGAATCCTACATTGATCCAAACATATCCAAACATATCCAAACATCTAGATCGTAGGAGCTAGCAGCACCCCGTCCTACATAACGCCATCTTCCATAGATCATATATGGCCCCACCTGCCCACAGAGTGTATGCTGATGGTTTGCAAACAATGAGAAAAGGTTGAGTGGATTCCAAAACCAGTCTAATCCATTATATATTGGATATCCCATGATCTCCCTATCCCTCTTCCTGATTATCCGCAACCATGATACACTCCTGAGGTTCCGCACAAGTCTCAGCCACAATGCTCGGATCGCACAGGGGCGGATGCGAGGCATTGAGCTCCCTGCGAGGCATGGAGCTGGACTAACGAGGCTTTGGGGACCCGTTTCATGAAGACCCACCCCCATGCCCCCAACGCCGTTTCGATGGATTTCTCACTGAGTATATAGGTCTTACTGCTGCCAAGGGGTGCCTGGGGGCCTGGGGGTACACGATTTTGCTTGAGCGCTGCCAGTTTGGGAGATTGTTTGAGAGATGATCGGGCACCAAAAGCACTGTAAAAAGATCCCTTGGGGATTCGCGTATGGCGCAATGATGTGTCCCTCCACACTGTGGCGATGAACTGGTGACGGTGGTCTGGCTCTCCAAAACCAAAGAAAAACTCCAGAGTTACACATGCTGGTTGGTTGGCAACTGTTAAAGCATGGATTCACTTTTGTTCCGATGTTCTTCTTGTAGTTTTTGGATTGGTGCCACCACACATCCATTGCCCAGCACCAACAACAGCCTCACATCCAACCATTCTTAACATGAGTGCAGTTGCACTAAAAATCAGGGTTGCCATTCAAACGCATGTGAAAGCATACTATTCAGCACCACGGCCACGGCTGCTTTTTGGAGACAAATCCGTGGAAACACCAAACATCCTGCCTGGCGCGTTGGCTATGGAGCTGCAAGGCATTCCTCAGAGAAAAGCAAATCCCATCGCTCTACAACTGAAACAAGCCAAAGGACAAACCGAAACAAGGACAGCTAGCTTTCACATCCCCAACAGCTTGACGCCCACCTTACTCTTTGCAAAACCCCAAATCTTCCCATGTCCCCACAACCCAGCCCACGTGCTGGCCAAACTGCAGGGCACAGCTCTCGTCCCTGCATTCATCATCTGCCTCCAGCAAGTCTCCTTCACGCGAGCCGAAAACGAACTTCAAAAGGCCAACCCTTGAGCCACTGCGTGGGTGCAGAGACGAAAAAAGCCGGTCCATCTGTTCGACCGAGCCACCGAAGGCAATGTGACTTGAACTGCCCAAAAAAGTTGCAGAGTCCTCATGTTCAAAAAACACGTTCCACTATGATGGTTTGTGATGGTTCCGTAGTTGGAAATCCAAAAAACACCAGCAAACCAGTCTAAGCTACGCATCATGTAGATGATGAAGAATTCCCTGGTGGGGACTCTCAGGCAAAACCCAGTATATATATATATTATATATAGTAATTTGTGTCTATCGTGGAGGGATCAACAAGGGGTGGTCAGTGGATAGCGCCTGCATAATAAACGAAGCATCACCCTGCTTTTCCATTTAATCCAGAATTCCAGCTGCCTCACTGGGTCGCTGCCACAAAAGAAACAACTACATAGCATCCACCCATGTAGGACGGAACCAGGCGGGTGAGAACCCAGCACTCAGTCACCCACACCGGTTAGATCCCGCCTCTGACCACAGGCGCGGTGAGGACCAGCAGTGTGAGGCCGAAGAAAGTACGTTGGAGGTACTGCGGTTGGGGCAGCCTTAGGACTCTTGGGCATGCATGCATGCACATATGTGTATGGATATGTGTAGACTTGTGTATACATATATATATATATATCTATGTAAAAATATATAGAGATGTGTGTGAGTGTACATTTGTGCATTTGGAGGATCTATGTGCAACTACAAAATTGAAAGCAATATGTCTCTGTCATATGCCCCCCATAAAAGGTGTTTTTTTGCTTGTTTTGTGGGTGGTGTTGGCAAAGCAAGTGAACAAATGCTACAAACGGATGCAAAGTCTTCCCTGTAGTTATATTATATATGAAGTTATGAAGTTGAGCAGCAAATGTGATCAAGCCATGTTCATGATACAAAGACAGCTGTGATTGACATAGGCCAATGAGTGCATGTTTCCTGACAGCAGGGCCTTCAGCATCGCAAAAACTTTGAATGACCCACGAACAAAAATCACCAGAAGCCGATCATAGGTCAGCATTCCGGAACAAGCATTGGTACTCGGCGGCTGGAACTTTTGGTCTTCAGGCCAGCTCCCAACTGATGAGTTCTGGTTCAAGGACATCCGGTCCTTGAAATACAACGCATGGTCCATGTTTGAGCTGTTTCTTGAGGACTAGAGTGGACTCCCTGTTGAGGAAGACGGCACCCGCTGCGGCAGAAGCCACAATCAGGAGCTACAGTGGACAATGTGTGTGGCATCAATTATATAAGCATCTCCCCAACTCACTGGTGCATTCTTGGCTCTTGAAAACACTTGGGAAGAACAACCGGTACCAAGTACCTGAACCAACAGTCTTCGCAGCTCATTCCTGCGACTCGGCCCGTACCCAGTCCCAAAGTCACAATAGATTGTGTGCATATACCAGGACACCCTAAGGGGCTTCCATTGATAGCTCCGAAAAGAGGTTAAGGGGTGTCCATTAACCACCCCTTGTGTGTCCAGATATATATATTTACGTATTTACACATACACATATCGACATATTGCATCTCCCCTCCCAATTTTTTCGGTATATGGAAGCCTCTCCATGATCCCCATGTGGAAAAGGAATGATAATTAATGTATCCAAAACAACCATGTGGGAAGATGTCTCGAAAAAGTGTGCCACATAATATCAAATAATGTGAAAACATGTCAAACATATCGTTATTTGTTTTTGTGGAGGGGCTTGCCATGTTTCACACCTATGAACAAATGGAATTCTTGCCTGAAGATCTTGAAGTGGTATGGCGGTATGGCATCAGTTTCTGTGTTGCCAGCGTTCCCGTGGAACAAGACAAATCATGTATCGTGCATTATCATCCTCTATTCCACAGTTCTCACATCTACTCGCGGCAGTCTCGACTCCCCTCACTCAGGGTGGCAGCCTTAGACGAGAAATATGATGCGCAGTCTGCCTGCGCACCAGCATGGTTCGCCTCATTTCGCCACGGTGACTGTCACGATGAAGAGCGGCCAATATGAACTGATGGGAAGGGGTGGAATGGGTACCTATATAAGTGTGGTCATTACTTACCTTACCGGCATTCGAGAAGAAACATGAAGAAACCACAAGATCCGATCATACAACTACGCCCTGTCTTGCGGGGAGTGCACCAGCTGGCACTTCATCTTCCGAAGAAAGAACATGAGATAACATGACAATCTTCTTTGAGCTTGAAGAATGTGACACCAGTGGACTTGAAGCTTGAACTCTACTCTTGCTACAAACAACTTTGCTTCTAACCAGCTGTCTTGCTTGGTTGTATTCAAGAGGTAGACAACCTTGCAATACAGCTGAGGTGGTAGATCTATGAGGATTCCTTTACATCTGGGGTGCCACTTACATCATTCGTTCTTGATCGTTCTTGGATGCTTTTGCTTGTCTTTCGCCTTGGCCCGTTAACAGCGGGTTTTGATCGTCTCAGAACATGAGCATGCCTTGAAACAAAGATGTCATGAAGCTACTGAGAACCGGGCCGTCTTCGCTGTTTAGCAAATGAAAGGGTGTTGAGACTGAATGCTTTCATTTTGATTGCACGTTCTGAGGGCATCCGACTGCTCGGGGCAGGTCAAACATGGCGAGTCAAGATCGTGCTTCGAGGTTGCTCTTACTTCAATGTGCAACAAGGGGAACATTATGCCATTATGCACAAGACTCATGATTTCCCCCCAGGGCACTTTGAGGCAGCACATGTCCTATTTATAAATATCACTCCAAAAAGGACTTTTGGCACTTGAAGCTTTGTCATAGGTTTTGTCGATTTGATGACAGATGCACAGAGAACTTACTGTAATCACACAAATATATTGCCATAGCATTGTCAAACAACACTAGGAGACGTTTACATTTTACAAATGTTTACGTTCAACAATGATCAAGTTGGCAATTCCATGCAAATAGCACTGCAAACCCTAAAATTTGGGGAACAAACCGCGCGTCCTGGCACTAATACTGCCGGAAGTCCATTTCAGTGCCGAACTACTCAAGCACCCATGCTACGGCGTGCGGCAACGCAGTAAACCATAGTAAAACGGGTGGCGATAGGTGCCCACTCTTTTTGTGCGGTCTATTGCGGTCTTGTTTCCCTGGCAGCATCGCCTCCGTACACATCCATAAATGCCTTACGCATGATATCCTAAACGTTCCACCCAGACCGAAACAAACATCAAAAGGCATCCGGGACCTGCATCTTTCAGCCAAGATGCAATAAAGTCAAAAACGGCGTGATTGCGCAGCTTGATGCCCAAGCGGCCGCGGAAGAACATGTCCCGAGTCACCCCGAGCAAGGCGGGTGGCACAGCATCAACTGTATCGACTGGGGCACGAATGGGTGGGCCTCTTTATGTCTTTCAACGCCCTGACCTGGATGGTCCAGTTCTATGGAAATTCCGTAGAACGCACCGGAATCCCTATGTTCCCTCCTTTCATTGCACTGTTCCAAAGTTTCTTTTGGGACGTCCCAGGCAGTCCAAGCAGTGAAAGGCCCAGCTGTTTTGACCGGCCGGCCCTGTTGCTGGCTGTTTCGCTGGCCATGTGTTTCGAGTCCTGGAGCTAGGGGAATCGAAAGTGGACTGAACCCCGTTGACGCAGGTTTAGTTGGGGATGAGACCGGACCCAATATCTTCCAGGTTTAACAGTCACAAAGCATCACCCCGTCACAATATCTTCTCGGGAGTCTATTTGAGAACCACTTCTAAACCTGGCATTGGGGATTTCTCATAATAGCAGTCAATGACAAGTTGCCATCTGCAACACAGAACAACATCAATAACAAGGCATTTATATAGCAAGGCAAGGCCTCAACCCTCAAAAAGCAAGTGTCTCTTCACCCCAAACAGTTCCACTCCTCAACCTCCCTCTCTTGCACATCATGTCAACATCCACTGCATCACCCATCAATCCCTCGGACCTGCCTCGGAGCTCCAGGTCTGCATCGTCACCTCTTCAGCGCCGACCTCGGACGAACCCGTTGGTCGTGGGCGCTCCGAGCATCGGCGCTGCATGCGCTCCGTGCGCTCGGTCAGTCATTTGCGGAGCCAACAGGCAATCATCTGGAGTCGGATCATGATCTGGCGTCATCTGCAGGCACCACTCGTGGGACGATTGGAGAATGTTGGAGATCCCTACAATGTTGATTTTTCCGATTCATGTTACCTTCAAAAGACCCGCAATGAATACAACTTAAAAGGAACAACCCTGCAAGAGATGTAGGTGGGCCTTCAATCTGCTCTGAACTTATTGTAGCACCATCTATTCTTGAGCATGTGCCGAGGGAGCCGCGGTGACTATGAAGGAGAAGCTGAGGATTGGAGGCTTCCTCAGCTGCCAAAAGCAAGAGCGATTCGCAAAATGGGAAGGCGCTGTAGGCTTCTCCTAGGTGCCGTGTTTTGCAAACAATTGGCATGTCATTTTCGCGCAAGAAGGGTCCAACAGGAACAACGGCAGAGTTCCAAGCTTCCCCAAGTGAAAAACGCGCGTTTCAAGGCAACTGACATCCATCTACTACTCTGCATCAGCTACTAGTACTCTGGCAATCTTTGATCCAACAATTGGAACCCCAGAAAGGGAGGCCGCTTCGTGTGTCCGGAGGGGTCGGCTCGCTGGCCATCGGTCGCCAGGTGGCTCCATCCAGAAGAAGATCACGGAGGTGCCCTGAACTCAACCCCCGGGCGCCAGGCCATCACACGAGGAAAAAGGAGACGACGGTGTCATGCCATGTCACATAATTATCATGTCATTCATGGGTTTGGATGACATATGATGACATGATTCGAGTGTGTTGTTTGTTTTCATGGGTGTGCTCTTTGTCCTCGCAAGGCAGGCCTTGCACCCCAACCATCTGCTTCGCATCACCAGGCCTCGGCAGCATCACCGTCGCCTGAGGCATACAGGCCTCGGAATGTCGGTCCAGCCGGATGACGAGGGGATTTGAGTCGTTGTGGATCAAACTCACTTGGAGGTAGCAGCCTGAAGAGTGCCCGAAGAGTGGATGTTTTATGTACACATATATTACGTGCCTATATTTATGTATGAAACACAAAGTCTTAAATGTTCACTAGAGCGCATTCCTATCTAATGACATAATGTCATCTCTTAATGACGCGCACATTAATTGAGGACAGCAATCTAGGGGAGATGCTTTGTAGGAGGAGCTGTATTACAGTCTTACTCGGCCATCGGCCCGTTCTAAACGTTGGTCGGGAGCCACTTCGAAAGAGCCGAAGTACAGCGGACCCTGAACGCTCAAGTCCATGTTTGTCTGCAGGGGGCAGTGATCTGTCGACATCATGCAAAACATATGTTTGAAGACAAAAACATACAAAAACACCAACTTTAGAACAGGTCGCTCAAAATGCTCAAGCGCCCTTAGCCCAGCAATGATGTCCGGTTTTCTTATGTTGTTGAACCGGATCTGCCCCGCGGTGGACCGGTCTTAAAGTGGACGCCCGAGCCGAAGCCGAGCGGAGTGGCTGTCCACGTGCCAAACCTGCGCAAGTCATGTGCAACATCCTTCAGGTCTTGGAGAACCTATTCTTGCAAGCTCCGGGACCTGACATCAAGGGCGATTGGGTCATCGTGAAGGCTTTGCACCCACAGCTGCATCAAGCGGAAGTGGGGCCCTCGAGTATACCTGTTCTTTGATGTTCTTTGTGCAGCCAAATGTAGGGAAAGGATGCACAAGGGAGGCAACCGATCACCATTCCTCCCATATTCGATCGGTACAGGCATAGATTGGTTTTACATTGGCTCCAACGAAGCACTGACGTGACTCGCCAAGTTATAGAGCCTGTCTTTCCATGTAGCCTTTGCTGAGCCTCCCCAAGACAAATGACTCAACAATCAGGGGAGTTGGATCTCGAAAAATCGTTTTGAAGGTCCAAGGAGCGGAAGGCAAGTTGGGCAAAGGGCCCCAAGCTTTGCCAGGAGCTCTCCCAACATCTCCTGCCAAAAGCTTGAAGAACAAATTCAGCCGCGAACTTCAATTGACGAAATTTAGCCGGCGGAGTGGGCCGCATACAACACGTTAGTTATATGTGTCTTGGACAACTGGGAAACATATGACTGGCACAACACCAACAACTCTCTGGAAGTACCGACCATAATAAAGTCCCTCCCTCCAACAATCATGGAAGTGGACAATGCCCCTTGGAAGACCATGTGGCTCATGTTCCTCTACCAAGAGCAGGTTGTCCACTTCCATGATTGTTGGGGGAGGGTCAATACTTCGCTGCGTGTATTTGCTTCGACACGACTGCTGCCAACAAAGGTCTCCATGGTCCTTCCACTCACCCAAGGATGAACGCTTCTTCTATATAGTTTGTAGTCACGGCCAGGGTGCACACGGGCCATGTTGCCCTGTTCTAGACTTGGGGGAAACTCTTTGAGATGTCCAACACCTCCCTGGGTATCAGAAAAATTGGATAAACTACACTCCCTGAAAGAATTATGAAAGTGGACCCATGACCCCACTTAAAATGGGGGATTGTCCACTTGCATGTTTGTCAGAGGGAGGGTATCAACATCTTGCCATTCTTCTGCGCTTGACTCCCCAACTTGCTCCATCTTCGGTCCTGCGAGGCCTCAAGGCTCGTGTGCGCGGATCCTCCTGGCACATGAGGGCAGCCCTAAGCTCTCCAGGTGAAAAACGAATTCGGTCCTACCCAAGCAAAGGGAGACCCCAGCCAAGTTGGTTTGTCCACAGCGCATCCATTTCAGAAGTAATGTGAAGATGGAACACAGCATCTCGAGACATCTCGACACTGGTCTCCGATTGGCAGAAATGAAGAGGTTGTTGGGCAATGTTGGGCACCAAATCCCAAACACAGGACCCATACAATCACGGACCGGGTCAATGTGTTTCTCAGTTTATCATGGTGATCGAAATCTTTGGGAAAAACAGCTTTGCACAGCTATTCTTTGGTTGCTTGAATCACTCGACAATCTTGCTTTATTCATGCAAGTACTCTCAAAGTCTGCCAGTTTCGTGCAGTGGCCATGTATCACACATGAGTCCTGTAAAACATCAACACGTCTCCTACTTGACCTTAAGACATGCCCAAAGAGGAAACACATCTTGGAGGAGTAAGACCAAATAGTTTTCTATCCAATCATATTCCCGCCAAAGGGCCGTCCAAAGCTGTGCTAGTGAAACATGCCTCTCATGTGCCAAACGGCCCATGGACTGCTCCACTTCACCGGAACCACGTGCCCCCGGTGTCAGTGCTACGGATCGAGCCGCTGCCGGGACCCTTCGGGACCCTTCGGCTCCTGCCAGAGCCGCTGCCGCGCGCGGCAGATCCGCCAGAGTGCTCGGACCTGGGAAGGACGGACGGAGGTTTCAGGTGGCTTCTGCCACCTCTGAGGTTTCAGAGGGGCTCGCGCAACTGATGCGCAATGGCTGGAGAAAAAGCCTCAAATGGGAGCGATTGCAGAAGTAGTAGGAGATTCTCGGAGATTCTTACAGAATTCTTTTGGGGTGCCCAAACCCGACGCAGTCCTGCAATTTCTACTGTTCCCTGTTTTTTGGTAGAGGTATATGTGTTTCTTAGCAATTAGAACTGCAAACTATAAATGGCGTAAGAACGATTGTACATGGTTTGCAAGGAAAGCAATAGAAGAGGCCCGAGCCGCACCGTGCTACATTGGGAGCAGCTGTTTGTTGTAAAAAGTCGTTCATGTGCTTCGGACATCACCCACATGTTGACAACAATATACTACAAAATACTATAAATAGTAGCCTCAAAGTCAAAGAGAACTGCACCGTGTCACAAACATCCACAAACCAACCTTTGATGAATTGTTTCAAGATGCTTGGATCAGGATCCGAATTGTAATTTCTCGACCCGCATCTATCTATCACAGCCCGTTGAGCGCAAAACTCAAGTTCAATCATCTACACCCGCCTCTCAGGCTTAGAATGGCTCAGACTCTCTCTCTCCTTCCATCTCATCCACCAACCCCAAAAGTCCCTCACAACCTGAGCTGAGTGTGCTGCAGGCTTCTGCAAAAGGCTCTCTTCAGCGGTGTCCCTGGGCGCTTTCGCTTGCTGATGTGGCATGCGTCACTGAAGTGCTGTTGCTTTTCCGCAGAAGCCCTTGATCGGCGGGCTCCCAACAAATTGACATTCTTTCACCTACGCCCGTCCGCACATCTCAGAAAACAACTCCTGTGCAATAAGTGGCGGCACATCCACTGTTCCCCGCAGGGCGAAGCCCGGTTTGGCCCTCCGAACAGCTGAACAATTTTTTTTCTCGTGTATCTAGGCAACGACATTCAAAACAACCTCACTGCAAAAGCGAATGCCATGTTTAATCATGTTTATAAACGTTCCATGACTTTTTTCAGCTAAGTTCCCCCTGAACCAGGCTGGTTCATCCTTGCTAAGGTCGCGGGTGTTGTTTCGTTCCCGGGGATGCGACTCG